ACCATAAATACATAATTAAAAGTTATAAAAAGAACCACACTTACACAGATAGAAAAAAAGATAAAAAATCGATAGAGGCCACACCAGGCCACTAAGGAGCTAGCCAACCCCATTTCTGACAACCTCCCTCCCCGCCCCAGACCAGATGGCAGAGCCAAGTCTTCAAAACCCTCCGAAAGGCCTGGAGTGAGGGGGCCTGTCTCACCTCGGGGGGCAAGATGTTTCAAAGGGCGGGGGCTACAGCAGAGAAGGCCCGCCTTCTGGACCCCGCTAATCGGAGTTCTTTTGCGGAGGGGGTCCGGAGCATGCCCCCTCTGTGAGATCGGGTGGGACGGGTTGACATCGTGGGGGCGAGGCGGTCCCTCAGGTAGCTTTAAAGGTGATAACCAACACCTTGAATTGGACCCGGAAGCAAACCAGTACCCAATGCAGCTCATGGAGCAAAGGTTTTTATATGGGTCCTTCTTTGGACCCCAAAAATCGCTCGCGCGGCTGCATTCTGGACCAGCTGAAGCTTCCGGATACTCTTCAAGGGTAGCCCCATTATACTATAAACTCACTAGTCACTGATAACTGCAGTCAATATTTTGTAAGCATTTAAATTTGTTTAGAATATATCTTGTATTGAAAGAAAAATTCAGAAAAAGAAAAGCATTATACAAAAAACATCTAGATCGCCCCCTCTCTTTTTTCAGTTTTTCCCCATTTGTTCTTTCTTCTCTGGATGTATTCTGAACTTATTTAAACTTTAATTATTATTAAATTGAAATTTTTATACAGTTAACAACGATTATGGACCTTTTGCAGCCTGGAACTCAACAGATGCCAATTAAAACTTTTTTAGAGGAAGGAGAGAAATTAATTCCACCTGTTTTGGAGAGAGGTGCTCTGCTGTGGCGCTGCTGCAGCGCAGACTGAGAGGGAACGCCTGTCATGTGTTCCTGTTTAGTCCGCACCGTGGCAGTGCCAAGCAGTCCTCGCTGCTTCAATTAAGCTAAGGCAGCAAACTTGTGCAAGATTCCACAAGAGTTTTATGGTATTTGGTGACTGAAGGTATTATTATTTAGTTTTAAAATGTAGTATTATCTATGTTTTATTGTATTTTTATTTTATTTTGTTAAATATTTTATAATTGCATTTTAATCTGGTTCAGACCGCACTCGGGAGTGTTGTGGGCCACATGTAGCCTGTGGGCCCCATGATCTAAAGGAATACAGGAGATTCAAAGAGTGATCAGCAAAGCAATCTGTATTAATAGTTTTCACCACATTGTGCTCCTCCTCCTCCAGAGAAATATGGCCCAAGGTTATGTTTTTAAAATTCACAGGCAGGTTGAATTAATATGTGTGAAACAGCGTGCTCAGGGCATTCATGCCAGTTTTTATAGTCCTGGCAACAGTAGGATCAGTTTTAAAAACAGACAAGCCATATTCCTTTTATGTATAGATTGAACAAATTCCATTTGCAAAGCCATCAATTTTCTCTCTCCACCACAAAAATCTTGACAATATGGTATACAGTAAGCTGCCTTCCTAAGAGAAAAATAATCCTCTAGAATTAGTTTATTTGGGTCTGTATACTGAACCTCAGCTTGGTAGAATAAATAGAACTCTAAAAAGATACTATTGCTCTGAACTGTTTTCATGTTTCCAACTGTTTCCAGGATTTGGTTAATTATTATTTGTGAAGGAAGCCACTGAAAATCATGTTCAGGTCTTGGCTAAGGCCACTTTTATTGGCTGACCAAAGTAACAGATCTGCTGCAGAATATCTGCAAACGGTCAGTAATGGAATGTAGCTACAGTATAGAAGTAATTTTGATGACATGTTTATTAAGCAATTAAAAGCTGTAGTTTAAATGGAAGTTGTCTATATAATGGTTGGAGATACTGGATTTATTAGGCATCTGTGGGCTTTGGGGAAAACATGTAACATAAAACTGAAAAGTAAAATAGGTCATAGTTTGCAATATATTTGGGAAAATGTGTTTCTTTACTAAATGTTCACATACAGATAGAAATGGGCCAATGCAAATAATAGATTGTTTATTGTATTCCTTTTCTCTCTGTTGAAAAGTCTAGAGATTCTATCAAATTAAATGATCTGAAATCTGAAGTGTCACCACGAATCTCAGCTGAAGATTTGATTGACCTGTGTGACCTGACAGGACCTGGCCATTCTAAGACCCCAACAAAGAAGACAAAGTCTAGCAAACCAAAGTTGCTTATTGTTGACATTCGGAACAGTGAGGAGTATCCTTCTTTGCTGAAAGTCATGACTTAATCATTTCTCACTATTTTTCTCTGCAGTTTCTGGTTGAAATATTTCAGAAAGGGAGAACAGCTTCCAACTAATTGAAGGAAAATCACTGATGGGAACTCACAGGACTCAACTGTCTTTAATCCATTATGTGGAAAAACATCTGCACTTAGAAAACCAGATACCAAGAAAAAGACAGTCTACCTTTACTTTTAGTTATATCTGTTTTCTATGTATTGGGATCATTTTGTAACAAAAAGAATATTATATCTGCCCGATACAGAATTAACCATCCTAATAATAATTGTGCTAGAGAGTTGCAACCAAGAAAAACATAACAGACTCCAAGAGGAAGAGCTCTGAATTACATTTTGATTTTTATCCAACCCCTTTCCTCCAAGAATTGAAGGTGGCATCTGTAGTGCTCCCCCCTTAATGTTATCCCCACGTTATTAACCTTGTATGATAGTATTGTCGAAGGCTTTCACGGCCAGCATACAATGGCTGGTGTGGGTCTTCTGGGCTGTGTGGCTGTGTTCTCTCTGTGCCCCTGCTCCTGTCTGTGCTCCTGCACTCTGAAGATGCCGGTCACAGGT